ATCGACACGCTTTTTTTTTTAATTTCTTGGAAATTTTGTCCTTTTTAAATCCATATAAATTAAGATAAGATTTGAGTTAATGTTGAGTTACCAGTAGTATTTGAGCGTAACCCTAAAAATTACTGAAAAAAAATGACTGTTTGAACGTGTACCAGTACCACAGTGATTTTTTTATCGAAATCTAACATACACCATCGCAAAGTGCTCTTTTTAACGAGTAATTTAAAAAAAAAAAGACCTCTCTACGATTTTTTTAACGCCCTGTAGGTCGATTTGAAGATACCATTTAAAGTACGTAAAATCCCCCGTTTACCTGAAATCAAGACGATTTTCTGGGCATTTTGCGTACATAAACCGTACCTTCAAATCGACCTACAGGGCGTTAAAAAAATCGTAGAGAGGTCTTTTTTTTTTTAAATTACTCGTTAAAAAGAGCACTTTGCGATGGTGTATGTTAGATTTCGATAAAAAAATCACTGTGGTACTGGTACACGTTCAAACAGTCATTTTTTTTCAGTAATTTTTAGGGTCACGCTCAAATACTACTGGTAACTCAACATTAACTCAAATCTTATCTTAATTTATATGGATTTAAAAAGGACAAAATTTCCAAGAAATTAAAAAAAAAAGCGTGTCGATACGATAAATCTAGCCCAAGATAGAAGCATTTGAAAATCGACAAAATTTCGATGAATTTTTTTGTTGCGATAATTTTGTTGCCGAGTGTATATATCATTGTTTTCTGAAAAGGTGTAGTATTATATTTTTACACTAGACGAAATTTCCCGTGTTTGTTTTGGCAAAATTCGGCTCCAACCTCGGAGCTAGTGAAAGATTCCCACTTTTAAAACTTTATTGTTTATTGTTTGTCGTTTGAATAAATCTTATTTGTACATGATTTTTGTTAAAATTTCGACCAGATGAGTTATGTTTTCTTCGGTATTATGTGGAAATGAATAATGTACGAAGTAAAATGACTGTGAAAAATTGGTTTTCTTGTCTAATGGCCATAATTTCAAATATTTTTTTCAAATTAAAGATTCATGCTTGTTTTATTGGCATTATACTTCATGATTATACTTCATAAAAGTAGGAGTAAGCTCTTTGCCGATGGATTGGCAGCGGTTTTAGATTAGGATATATAAGAAATTTGAAGAACTTACATTGTTCTGAAATATTTTCAAAATTTCGTTCCTAATCTTTCTGATCTTCTAGATCGAATAGGAAGGTCATAGGCTAACATAATCTTAGCGCGATTTGCCTATAGTGGAGTTGAGCACTCGAATTCGGGGAGCGCCCCTCGGTTATTATTTCAGTGTAGATCAGGTCTAGAAACTCGGCTTTGGTACTTTTTTTGTATATAATGTAACACACCAAAAAGCGTCCAAACCGGTAACATAGAACCAAACGAAAATGTGAAAAAGTATTATTTTGAGCTATAAAAATTAGATCGTAAACATCAGATTGTAAAACCTAAGAAAAAAACATTTTTATTTTAATGGAACAGCAATTAGCCGAGTAGCATTGGACGTGAGGCTAGGCTGTCTTGACGAGGGGAAAGATCCTCCAGCCGAGACGCAAGCCCTGATCGAAGCCGTGCTGACGTTCTTCAAGCACGTGGGGCCCCTCGAGCTGAAAATCCCCTTCTGGAAGTTGTGGCCGACGCCGGCCTGGAAACGATACATCGGCGCCCTCGACGTCATCCTGGCGACGACGAGCAAGTACACGCGCGAGGCCCTCGAGCGAGCCCAGCGATGCCCCAAGCCCGAGGGCAGCGACGACCTATCCTTGCTCGAGCGGGTCCTCAGACAGGAGGGCGACGCTCATCTCGCCACCGTCTTGGCCTTTGACCTCTTCCTCGTGGGCATCGACACGGTAACGATTAATGATCAATTTAGCTCATCTAGTCGGCAGCTAATAATATTTCTATTTCCATAGACGTCAAACTCGGTCGGATCGGTCCTCTACCAACTGGCCCTGCACCCCGAGAAGCAGCAGCTGCTCCACGAGGAGCTCAACCGGGTCCTGCCCGAAGGGGGCGGACCACTGGAGCCGCGACACCTCGACCAGCTCAAGTACCTCAAGGCCTGTGTTCGCGAGACTCAAAGGTTCTGTCTCCTCTTCTTATACTCTTCTTATCTCGAATTTCGGCTCTAATTGACTCATTTTAACGATTCCGATTCAGGATGTACCCGGTGGTCATCGGCAACGGCAGATGCACTCAGAAGGACACCGTCATCTGCGGCTACCAAGTCCCCAAGGGCGTAAGTTGATCTTGATCTTGAGCGAATATCGATCCACATTGATCCACGTTTACGCAGGTACACGTCGTCTTCCAACATTGGGTCATCAGCAACAGCGAGAGATACTTTCCCAAAGCCTCGAGCTTCATACCCGAGCGATGGATCGGCCAGGGCAGCACCGAAGCGCCACCCGCGAGACATGCCTTCGCCTCGTTGCCCTTCGGCTATGGACGGCGCATGTGCATCGGGCGCAGATTTGCAGAGCTCGAAATACTCATTCTTCTCAGCAAGGTATACTATGATAGATCGTAGAATCAAGAAATAATTTTTTGATTTTTTAATTAATCTTTTGTTTTATACGTCACAAAAATACAACAATTACACTAGTTTTCAAAAAAACCGTTTACCTCGCAACCATCTGCCATTCTCTTTACAAAGTCCTAAAATCTACTAAAAATAGCGTCAAATTTGGGCCTCTTGAATGAAGTGATAGATGGTCCCAAAAATTCTGAAAAAATTCAAGCAGATTCTTTGAAACATTTTAAAACTTTTGATCGTCCCATTTTTTCGTTTAAGTACTTCTATTTCGATATAGAAAATAACAAAGATTTTTTTATAATGTGGAAAATCCTCTAAAAAATGGGCCCTAAGGCCCATTGGATCAAACTAAGCACAGGGAGCTTCAGTATTGGGTACCAGGAGACCGCAAAAAAATTTTGGGGCAAATCCATGACCCGTACCTGAAAAGCTCTCCTTGTCAGTTCAATGCCTTTGCCACTCATCCAAAAATGAGATCGCTCCAGTAATTTATCTCTATCCGATAGATCGTCTTCCCTCTTGCCAATTTGATAAAGCCTTGCCCGTACTTTTACAAAGACGCTCACCGAAGTAATGTTTCGTGATTTCGTAAGGCTACTGGTCGAAGGATTTCCCTCCGACCACGTCTATTATAAAAAACACACTCACGCACACACACGAACAAAATTTCGAGTTTCTGTATGGAAAAAGCAAAAAAATTTATTAACTTAATGCATTTTAGACTTCCGATATCATTCTTTTCACGTATCATGAAATCTTTTTAAATCATTTGACTAATTTTTTATTACAGATTTTTCAAAACTACAAAGTTGAGTATCACCATGAAAAATTGAATTATTACATAGATCCAATGTACACGCCAAAAGGACCTTTAAAATTCACGTTTGTTCCAAAAAATGACTGATTTTTATGTATTACAATATATTACACTATGAAGATCAGTCTTTTGATTTGCATCAAATTGTTACATAAAATTTAGTTTTTAATGCAATGATTATGGATGTGTATTCTGAAATATATTATTTAACTATTGAACACATATTGTAAAAAAAAATTGTGTATATAGTTTATTTTACAGCATTTATTTATATTAGATATGTAGCAAAATAGGGTAAGTATAGTATTAAGAAATGTGTAACAATTGATGAATTGATGTGAATAATCGTTATAATGTAATAAAGGAAATGATAACTAAGTTAAAATTAGTTTTTTACTCATTGATAATCATTATAAATAAAAATGTCGAAAAGAGAACAGAACGTGTATTGAGGAGAAATCTAATTTTTTACAATAAGGTACTAATTAATACACAAAATTTATGATAGATTTATGGTGAATAAAGATTCATTGAACTTCGTCATTCGATTGTCGAGTGACTACAACTCGTTGAAAACGAGAACAGATCGATGATCTGAATAAATAATGAGACAGTTAATCTCTAGATTATTTTTATCATTATTTAGTCGTAAATGTTAGTAAAAACGAACAGATTATAATGCATCAACGGAAAAAAATTCAAACGAGAGCCATCTGATTTTCTTAGTAACACTTATGTATTAGACATTTCTTTATATTACGCACACATTTGTCTTATACATTCCAACATTTGAAGTTTCATTTTGATCAAATTTAATTGAATAGTCTCCCCAATTTGATTGGGTATGAATTGTATTTATGAATTTCACTGTTGAATCAAGTATGTCATAAGATACTTGTAATAAACATATTCTTTGTCGTGTAATACGCAACAGGTGTAAACTTTTTGCTGTTACTCAATGTCCAACAGAAGGTGAATAAAATATAAGGTATAAAAACAAAGTGAATAATAGAAAATGTTCAAATATTTTTCTACAGAGTTTTTTCCCAGTTATTACGAATTATCGTAAAGGACCTGCAGATAAATATTCGTCTTCGTTCTTTTTTTTGTACAGCCTCAGCGGTAAAATTCGTGAACACGAGCTTTATTATTGTGTCATTGTCTTCGGCAATTTGTTCCGAGTAGCGAGTCGATGATGGAGAGACATACGTTTTTGGAATGAATTTAAAAAGTTATCCAAGAGCCCCGAGAGAAGCCTCTCATGCAGTCTCGTGCAGATAATGCACGAACCTTAGACAGTTGACGTTCTATGCAGTACAGGTGCGCGCGTGCAGATCGCGCGCGTCTACTCAAGCTTTTGTAGATGTATATATTTTTCTCGCCTAGGCTCGCGCGTGACGGCCGACAGCATTATTATGTATATCTCTTCTTTATCTTAAGGTAAAAAATGCATTTGCAATCGTGTACTACATATATACATAATACATACAAGTTCTAGGTGTTTGTGGTGAAGATCGCTTTGAATGTGGCGCGCTACGCCTAGACCAACGTCAATTTCGCTCGAGTCGCGCTCATCATGAGCACTACTTATTTTCGCATTTATACCGTAAACGATGCACAAATCTCGATCGGTTTATCGTCTGCCCTCGCGTGAAACAGTTCATGTGTCGTATGAAAATATTTGTGCACGGGCTCCTGGGTAGTATGTGTTTACATACGAGTCACATAGCCGCGCGACAGGCGAAAACCCCGTAAAGTTGATCGCCACATACAACTACATACAGTTGCACAATACATACTCCAGATAAGAGCGCAAATTGACGGCTTACGTGGAATGTCTGCTGCTAGTACTACGAGTAGTACGATCCCAGACATCGGCGCTAAAACTGACGTGTTGGCCCCTCAGCCACTCTTCCGTCGCCAGCATATTTTTATGTTTACAAACGGGCACAGGTACGTGAACTCTCTGCAAGCTTCGTACTTTGCTCCTGTGACTCGTATGCATGCCATCGATGCCCAACTGACACCGATGTTTATCGTCTTTCATTGTCGTCGAACTGCAATTTCCTTGACCAACGCGACAAATGACATACCTAACCCCGTTCCGTTCCAGCTGACAACTATTGTGTACATTAGTTACACCGATTGACTTTACTCACTCTTACTTTTTCACAGCAAGTATTTTTTTAGTTTTTCGAGTATTAGCGCACGATTGAATCGATCATACTTTACTTACAAATACTTAACTGTTCCAAAAGAAACAAGTCTGCAAAAAATGACATCTTGTAGGTTAGACTTGTAAATCAAAACATCAACATTATCTTCCATCGTTCGTTATACACTTCTTTTTTAATTGTTGAATTTACGGGTTCTCTAGGTTATCAGAATAAATATTTTGTGAATTATTTTTCCTTTTAAAAACAATCATTTTTCATTTATCACTTAAATTATAAATACATAACATATATTATTACTTGTAACTGTTACATATTTCAACCCATGAACTTTATTAACAATAATTTTGTTGGTATACTTAACTTTTATATTTGTTATAAATACAATATTGTTAAAATCAAAAAAAAATTGCCCAAATTTTCTGTTTATCCATTCATTTGTATCCAAGTATAAGTGTAATATCAAATAGCTTATTTTAGTTCATAATATTGACCATGCATCATTATGGGATTTTTAATTTCTTCTAATTTTTTTCCAATTCTTTAAAATTATATGAAAATCAATTGATTTTTTTACAAACAAGAAATAAATTCTTTTTATAAATAAAATAAAAATATTTTCATCAAGTTAAACTTGAAATTTAAAAAAAAAAACATTCAAATCAATAACTTATTGATCGATGGCAATGAATGTTTGGCTGTAGTGATTTTAATTACCTCATCCCTGAAAACAATACTATTTGCTTCAATGACTTCAAAGTAGACTTATCCCCAGTCTGTGGAAACATGATACTCTTGTATGCAAATACTAATATAATTAGTTTACCCCAGTCACAATGCTATCCAATTAGTTGACAAGAATGAGAGCAGTGGGTGACACTGTCGCTAGATACTCTACAAACTTTCACTGCCATTGATAGATTATTCTTCAGCAATAACTTGTTACATCTAAAAAAAAATTTTTTTTAATTTTATTTTGATCATTTAATCATGTGGTTTTCTCTCATTTTAATTCTACAGTTAGCGATGTGGGGTAGTTCAGAAGAACCACCTGGTACAATGGAGGCAGGCCCTCCTCAAGCTTCGGGCAGCAAAAATACAATAGAACTAAACTCAGATCAATTATCAGTGGAAGATATAGTCTTACAAAATAAACAAAGCATAAGAAGAAAAGAGCAAGAATTAGAGGTATGGATTTTTTGCTAACAATCACCAAGCAAATTTTGTTTTTTCTTTAATAATGAATATATTTTTTTAAAACAGGAGTATGCTAATAAATTATCTAGAATTAAAACTAGAACTAAACGTTCTCTTCATAGAGAAGATGTGGCTTCCAGTGATAGTACTCCTAAATCAAAGTCTGACACAAGTAGTATTCTTGAAACGTATGCAGATGATGTTGATGATATCAGTCAAGCTAGAACTCCTAAAGCTAAGTCTTCATTACTTCAAAAAAAATTGGCTGAAGATAGGAAAATATTTGAGCAACGAAGTAAAGAAATTAGTGAAAGTAAAAGAGTTGCTGAAGAAAAGGTAAAAGCAATCAGTCAACAATTGGAAGACTATACGCCACCTGTTGTTACCCCAGTTCTAGTCACTTCTCAGGTATACAATTCATTTAAATAAAAAATTATAATTACTATAATAATAAGTTAATAATTTTTTATATTTAAGGCTGCTCATCCTTTATTAGAAATAAGCGTTGTGCAAGATAAAGATAATAAAATATTTGAATTAAATAATAAAATAACAGAATTAGAAGCTTATATTATTGATCTTCAAGAAAACTTAAAAGAAAAAGATTCTGTTATTGAATCTAAAACTAAAGCTGTTACATTAATTTCGGCTGATTTATCTGAAAAAGGTAAAACAACATTGGATACTTTAGAAGATACAAAGGATGAAATGAGATCTATGCAAGAAAATTTTGTTCTTATTGAAAGTTCTTTGCGAGATAAAAATGAAAATTTATTAAAACAACTAGAAGACAAAAGTTATCAAATATCACAATTAGAAGAAGCTTTAACAAGGTATTTAATGTTTATTGTAGCAACCATATCATTTATTAAAAACTGAATCTAATATTAGTTTAATTGAATTTTTAGGCTGAATGATGAAATAGAAACTCAGAAAAAAAATGAAATAATTAATGCAGATTTATCTCGGTCAACTATAAATACTTTATCCGATACAAAGGATGAGATGAAATTAATGCAGGAAAATTTTGTCCTAATTGAAGAATCTTTAAAAACAAAAAATGATCATTTACTACAACAACTTGAAGATCGTGAAATCAAATTAGCCGAAGCAGCAACTAAAATATTAAACCTTGAAAGTGGCTTAGGAATTGAGAAACAACCTGAACTTGAACAACTGTCTATTAGACTTGAAAAATTGGAAGCTATCAATAAAAAGTTGGAAGATGAAAAATATGAACTTCAGAAGAATATTGCTGAATTACAAAATAATATAGTTTCTGGCTCGCCAAATGATGATATACTTCAAGAAAAAGACAATAAAATCATAGAACTTGAAAATCTTATTGAAGAGCATAAAAAATCGCACCAACAAATTCAAGAAGATTTACGTATTGAACTTCAAAAACAGATTGAAGATTTGAAAAATAGAAATGATGAATTGTTAAACCAATTAACAAAAATGGATGAAAAAGTACAAAATTTGGTGACTGAAAATGCTGAAGTAACTGCTAGTTTAACAGAAGTCACTAAAGATGAAGAAACTATCGAAAATCTTAAAAAAGAATTGGATGAATTGAATAAAAGTATGATAAAATTGAAAGCCCAGCATAAAACTAAGTTGAAAAATTTACAGAAACAATTGGATAATTTCAAAAAGGTTCATATAAAAGTATTCATCTACTATTAAATATTCATTTGGAAAATAATTAACCACGAAATATTGTATGTAGGTGTCAGATACAAATGCTGAACTGGTAAAACTTGGAAACCAAGTCGCAATACTGGAGGAGGAGAAAGGTAACCTTCAGCTGAGTCTGGTAGACTTTGACGAGCTTAAAGGTAGGAACGTAGGACGGCTTTTTTTGTGCCGTTGTTTTTCATCCATCATCTTAATATTCTTATTTGATTGTTTACATTGAATTTTTTTATACGTTGATGGATTAATTATGCAACGTGGTTTAGAAAGTTCGATTTTATTAATTTTTGTAACTATATCGATTTTATTGACCTGGTGATGGATTTTTAATATAAATTTTTATCAGATGAAACTATCGAAAGTTAATGAAATTTCGATTAGTTAAAACGTTTTTTAAATTGAATTTAATGCAATTAATTTATTATTAAAATTTGAGACATTTATTAAACAAAACCACCTTTATTACTTGTCAAAGTTCGCTAAGCTCTCTACAAACCGTAGTTTATTAATTTAATTTTATTACAATTTTCTCCTAGTTATAGTTTAATACGAGTTTCAGTCTATATTTTGCATGATAGAGTGCATAACTATTTTTAGCATAAGAAATGAAATCATAAAATTTAATTCTAATTTTTTACCCATTGAATGAATTTTCAATATTATTGACAATGAGTAATATTTTTTATAATAACCCTTATTGTGCAATTTAAATGTGAGGTTTAACTATTAACTTCATCAATGCTAACGTACCGATTATTGAATTTACACTGTATATTACTTGTACGATATCGCATTATGTTTGTAATTAAGTGGGCGAGCGAGCATGCTTGGCTTTTCTGCTTGATATTAAATTTTAAAAAAACAACAAAGAAACAATGAACAATTTAAAACACAGCATCAGCGGCAGAATGGAAGGACCGTATCCAGGCGCTTGAAGGTAAGAACAGCAGCCAAGCGAAGGAGATTGAAGCCCACATCGAAGCCATTGCCATATTGGAAAATCAGAAATTAGATCTTATACAAGGTATTCAGCTTGATTAAATTAATGCTATCTGTATTTAATTAGCCAAATTAAAAAGATACATTTTTGTTGTTGTTATTTTTGCTCTATTGTAAAATCATAAATTATAGCTCATGCTGCTAGTCGTCAAAATCACTAATGAAAAATAAGAGAGGTAGTTCTACTTTCCCGTTTATAATTAAAAATTTCTGGAAAAATTGTGTGATTCGATTAAAAATTTTCTGTATGGTATAAAATTAACAATCACGAAAAATGTGCTATGTAAATGCTTTCAAATAATCTCAAATTTCGTTTTATATTCTTAAATTATAAACGTGAAGGCGTACAGATCTGCAACTATAAAAAACGTTTATTTTTTGTCACAATACAATCTAATAATCATTTTATCGTACAACTTGTTTTCAGAACTTTACGACGTGAAGCAAGAAATATCAGAGCTCGAAGCTGAAAACGCTGAATCGGAGAACTTGCGCGTTACTGCTGAAATGAAAGTCGTCGATCTCGAGGAACAACTTGACAAGCTGCAATCCAGTTTAACATCGGACGCAGCTCTCAACTCAGAAATGCAGCGTCTAACTCAAGAAAATGAACGTTTACAACAAAAACTTAGCGAAGCTACGGCCACGAAATCTTCGTCCGAAGTAGGCTCGACAGAATCTTTTGTTAAAACAGGCTCTAACGTTGATTCGACGGAATCATTCGAGGCGCTATCAGCCGATGCCGAACGTGCCGATCTATTGAAAAAAATCGACAGTTTGACGAGAGAAAACGGTGCACTTCTGGAAAGATTAATAAGATACGAAGAGAAGCCAACGTCTGATAGTGGTTCAACTGAGTCCTTTGAAAAGTTACCTGAAAACGCGTCAGAAAATCTCAGCCGTGAAAATCAAGAATCGGCTGGTAAATTGGTTCAGTTAGAGGAAAAAATTCAACACTTATCCGAAGAAAATGAAAGGTTACTTACCCAGATTCAAATTATGGAGAGCGATATTGTGTGCAAAGAAAAACGTTCTCTTGATGAAGAATCGACCTCCACGGTCGAACCTTCTATCGATGCAACAAATGATGTAAATGATGAGTTACTATCCAAAATCGATACCCTTACTTCGACAAATGAAAAAATGAAAACTTCTCTGCTGGAACTTGAAAAAGAAAAGAAAGAACTCCTTGCTCAAATAGAGCATTTAAGGACCGAACAACAAGAAATTAGTGCAAATGAAGTATCAAATGACAATTCAGAGTCAAAAATAATATCACTCGAATCCGAGATCCAACAATGTCGTAATATTATCGCTGAAAAAGAAAAACTTGTCAATGAAATAAAATTGTCACTCGACGATAAAGATATTGAATTAAACAATTGGCACGAGCAGTCGTCATTTTACGAAATGGAATCAGCAAAAGCATTGGAACAATTGAACGCAAAAATAGTCGAATACGATAATTTGTTGGTAGAACATGAATCGGTGAAAGCAGCAAGCGAACCATTAATAGCCCAACTTAATGAGCAAAGAAATGAAATCCAAAATCTTCGAAATCAAATCGACGATTTGTTGTCTCAAATCAGTGCTAAAAGTATGCACGAAAAAGAGCTTTTGGACGAGTATGAGATAAAATTACAAACATTGACTGGTGATTATGAAACGAAAATTCAAGGGTTGATAAAACAACACGAAGAAAGAGAATCTATATTATTAGATGAGCGAGACAATGAGATAAGAACAATAAAAGAAACGTGTAATGTTGTTGAGCTTCAAGATAAAATAGTAAAATTGGAGGAACAATTGCAACAAAAAAGTATTACCATTGCTTCGTTATCTGAAGAGATCGAGAAACTTATGAATAATTCTAGCGTAATTGAAGAAGATCTATTTACAGCAAGACACCAACTGCAAAATCTTAATAATAAACTCGAACAGTCTAAGAGTATAGACGAATACAATGAGATTTTAAGTACTGTAAATGATCGAGAGCTCACAATATTAGAATTAACTGATAAACTGAATCGGAAACAAGATAATATAGATGCTCTGACAAGTCAAATTGAATCCGTGACTTTAGAAAATAAAGAATTACGTGAAAAATTATCGGTTGAAGAAAGCAAATTTGACGACATTCATGAACATTATCAAATTCAAATTGAAGAAATTAACGATTTGAAGCGAAACAAAGCAGACGTTGAGAATATGTTACTGAACTTGCAATTGACACACGAAGAGGCCTTGCAACACGCTAAAAATTTGAGTGCCGAATTACAAGAAGCTTATAAATCATTGGAACTGTTGAAGAACAAGCACACCGAAGACATGGGTATGTTAAATCGTAGATTAGAAGATGTTATTGAGGATCTTCAGGTTAAAACTCAAGAATTAGAGACTGCGCAAATCGAGCTAAATGAAAAAAATACGCAGTTGGAGAAATGTGTGCCAGATGATGTTAAGTCCCACCTTGAAGGACAATTGACTCAATTACAAAAGGCTTTAGCTGAAGGAGAAGAAAAGGCTCAAGCTCAACTGGAAAAAATGAAAAAGTACGCCGCTCTGGCTAAGAAAAAGAATCTACTTTGTGAAGAATTGGAAAATAAAATGAAGGAAATCGTTGAGAAACACAATGTAGAATTAGCCGAAAGTCAAGCCCAAAATCGAAAGCTAGAAAATATCGTTCAAGAAAGAGACAACAGAATCACAGAATTAGAAATGGAATTGAAAAATGCTGTTAATGAGAGAGACCAAGTATTGGAAGAGTTAGACATTTTAAAAAGCAATTTGTCCGAAGCCCATGAAAACATCGACGAGCTGAAGAAAGAAATCGCGGAACTCAATACTGCCAAAGAGAGTGCTCGAGAATTGGGAGTTCGTATGAGTGTCATGGAAACAGAGTACGTCGAGCAGCGCACGCTCATCAATACACTCAAGACGGAGAATGGAATGTTGCTCTCGAAGCAAGCTCAGATAAGCGAGAGATTGGAAAATGTTGAAAAAGAATCAGAAGAGCGACGGCAATTATTAGAAAAATTGGAAAAAGAAAAAGAAATAGCCGAGAGCGAGCCTAAGCCAGCTGAATCATGTAGCAGGTGCGCTAATTTGGAAGCCAAACTCCAAGAGAGAGAAGCCGAAATTGAAAATCTCGACAATGAATTGCACAACTCCATCGACAATCTTGTACAAATGCAAGAAAGTCTGAGAATGAACACCGTGACTGATGCCTCTTATAATGAACTAATGCAAAGGTATACTGCCCTGATGTCATCGAACGAAGAAACAATCGCCAAACTGGAGACGACATTGCGGGATAACGAGGAATTGACTGATCGAATCAACAGTTTGCAATCGGCTGAGGCTGCTCTGCGCGAAACCATACAGACATTGGAATCCGAGTTAGCCGCTCGGCGTAGCGAAGCCGTTGTGGCAGTTGCATCCGACGCGCTTGTCACAAGTTCAGTGACCGAGCCAGAAATAAAGCCGTTCGACGCGTCTATCTTCGGCTCGTCATCGGTCTCGGCTCAAACGAACAACGAATTGGAGTTTGAGATTCAACGATTGACCAATGAGTTGAGCTTTAGACTGGAAGAGCAGAGAGTCGCCTTTGCCGCAGTCGAAGACAGCTTGAGAACTGAACTTGTACAATCTAAAGCGACGATAGAGCAGTTGTCGAGCAACTTGCACGATGTCGATGCTCGTTTGAGATCAGCTAACGAGGAATTGGATACTCTGAGGTTGCAAAGTGAAAAACTGGCCTCTTACGATGCGGAGAACAACAAGCTGTCGAGCCAACTGGAAGAATTGCTAAAAGAAAAATCAGAATTGGAAATCGAGTTAGCCTCGTTGGGTGCCTCCGATTCATCCTGGTCTTTGTTGAAGAAATTACAAAAGACTTTGGAAAATTACAACGTGAAAATCGGTGAAACCACATCCGAGTTGGAAGTCGTGAAGATGGAAAATCAACAACTAATCGAAACACAACAAGTCCACATTCGTCGCGTTATTGAATTGGAAAATGAACTCAAAACGTCAGGGGACAACGCAATTATAAGCGAATTGGAAAGTCGAGTTTCAAAGTTGTCACAGGAGCGTGACCTATTACAGCTGCAGTTTAACGACGCTAAGCGAGAATACGAAGATCTGAAGGAGAGTACCGCAGGCTTATCAAAGCTGCAGCTTCAACTCGACATGGTTGTACAAGAGCGAAACCAGCTCGTCGAAGAAATCAAGAGCTTGCGCGCTTCCGCGGCTAGTCAAGAAACAGCTGCTCAGCAGCAAGTACCACAGCAGGAGTCTATCGAGTCGTTGCTAAGCGGCTCGGGCTGGGACGACGACGTCACTCCTTCGTCCATCGAGACTTCCGGAAGTTCCGAGGCCCAGCTGAAAACGCGCGTTGATCAGTTGGAGGAAAAGCTGAAAGATCTGAGCTACGAAAATACCAAATTAGTTGAAGAATCCAAAGTGGCACAAGTGAAAATCGTTAGGTACGTGAAAAAGCTCAAGGAGTACAAGGTGCAGCTCGACAGTTTACAAAACGAGCTCAAAACTTCGCAGACAATGGGCGCTTTCGACGATTTGAATGCGGCCATCGAGGAGGAATTGAAGACACAAGTAGCGGCTCTGGAGAAAGCTCTGAGCGAGGCCAAAGAGGATTTGAAAAAAGCTGCCGCGGAAAAAGAACATCTGACCAACAGAATCGATGTGCTTACCGCTGCCTCGGAAACTCTTGCCGAAACCAAAACGAAGCAAGAACATGAGCTGCACGTTTGGCAAATGAGGTACAAAGAAATAGAAATGAAATTGCAGTCTACCGAAAGCGGTACGGCGATGTCTCAAGTAGCTGTAGAAAGCAAGCCAGAAAACAAAATTGATCATGAATCGAGCGAGTTTGAAGCCTTGGCCAAACAAAACGAAGAACTGGAACAGATACTGGAAGATTATCGTGTCAAAATGATGAGCAGTGAAAAAGCCGCAATGCATGCCAAGGAGCTCGAGTCCTCGTACAGCAGTTTGCAAGCTAGTTACGACAAACTCAAGACTGATTATGATGCCTTACGTCGTCAATTTGAGCAGAGCTTAATGGATGCCAATGATCAGGTGCAGAACGAGCGTCAAAAATGTGAACTGTTGCAAATTACCTTGGAAGAAAAAACAATGGAGGCCGAAAACTTATCTTTGAAACTGAGTGCTGCGATCGACGAAAAAACCAATGCAGTCGACGATATGAGCAAACAGCTGAGCGTTAAAACTGAACAACTGGCAGAATTGGAGAAGGATAAAGCAGCTTTAGAGGCTTGTACGCAAAATTTAGAGCAACAATTGACGGAAAAGCAACTGCTTGTCGATCAATTGCAGGGACTAGAGTCTTCGATCGACGGATATATCACTGGATTGCAAGAAGGACACGCCGAAATTCAAGCACTCCAAGATAAGCTAAGAACCACAGAAGCTGAACAAGCTAAAGTCATTCAAGATCTGAGCGAAGAGGTGCAAGATTTGCGCCATCGTTTAAGTGAAGCGACAAAGCAGAACGATGAAATGAAAGAACTGACTCAAGTTCAATTAAACCAATGCGAAGGAAATTCTGAAACGATACGAGTGGATTTAACTAAGGAATTGGATCATATTCAAGATCTTTTGAATCAAAAAAATGTGGAATTTAATGAGTTGTCACTCGAACGTGAAACTTTGAAGACCAATATTGAAACATTGACAAGGGAACTCAGTGTGCGCGAAAACGAGCTCCTTACCTTACAAACTGAGAATGAAAGTTTGAGAGTTCAAATTCAAGCAATGAACTCAGAGATGGCCGATGTCAGAGAAAAATATGAAACTGAACTCGATGAATATGAGATGAAAACGCAACTTTCATTAATGAATAAGCTTGAAGAGTACGAAAAAGTACAAGAACCAGAGCTCGAAAGCGCAAAACCAAAAGTCGAAGAGGAAATTCCCATTTTCACATTTGCAATCGCTGATAACAAAGACGAAGAGTTGAAAAAATTAAAAGCGGAATTGAAGGCCAAGGATGAGACCATTGAACATTTGCAATATTCAGTTAACGAGAGTACGACTACTAAGATGATACAAGCTTTACAGGACAACGTAAACGCTCTTCATAATGAAAAGGCAGCTTTGGAGGAACGGCTGATCATGCAAAATCAAAAAATGCACGAACTTACGGTAAATTTCTTAAATGCATAATTCACAAGTTTTTTTTTAAAGAAAAAATTAAAATTTAATATTGAATTTTTCTGCAGACACAGCTCGAAGACGCGCATCAACGGTTGCAAGCTAACTTAACTGAGGTTGACTCCACAATTAAACTTCAGCAAGAGTTGCACTCTCGCAGAGAAGAAATGCAACGATTGAGCCAGTTGCTAGTTGAGAAAGAAAATCAGCTGCGAGCAGTTCTTGAAACCCAGGTGATTAATAGCGACGTTATGCAGGATAACGAGAACAGATTGAGGGAAGAGCTGTTCGAAAAACAGCGACAACTCGAATCATTTGAAAAAGCCGTCAACGAATTAACGAGCGAAGTGAAGAGGCTCAGAGAAATGGAAGCATTTTCAGCTAATATGGAAACGGTAATAGAAGACTTGAAGAAGCGTGAGCAGGAAAGAAGCAAATCCGAAGATGCTCTAAAAGACGAATTGAGGGTAAAATTTTAATTTTTATTTTAATTAAATTTAAATTTTTTCTGTAGGTAATACAATTCAAATGTTACAAATTTTTTTTAGTCAAAAGAAGAAGAAATAAAAGCTTTTCAGACATATTTCAAAGAATCTCTGAATGTGCGAGATGAAGAAGTAGCCAGTCTTAAACGTAAAATTGAACAAATAAGTTCGGATCGTGAAATTCAGCTGACTGAAAAATCACAGGAAGTGGAGATTTTAAGGGCCGAAATTACTAAACTGATCGAAGAATTAAACAACTTGGGTGCCAATAAAGAAAGCGAGCTGCAGAGTTTACACATGCAATTGTCAGAAAAGGAATCCAACCTTGAGCAACTGACAGCAATGGCTGCAGAGGAAAAGAAGCAATTGGAAGAATTGACAAAACTTTTGGAAATGAAGGAGCAACAGATTCAAGGATTAAGTCAACAGCTAGTCGAGAAAGCTAAGGAGCACGAACTGACGCAGCATGCTCTGCAAAGACACGTTGGTAGCACCGACGTACAAGCTCAACCACCCTTCCAGCCGGTACATGACTCTCTCACTGAATTTTATCAAAAAGTAAAGCTTGTTTTTTTTACTTATTTTGTTGCATTCTATAATTGAGATTAGAACGTGCACCCGTGCACAATCATTTGTATTTAACGTATATTAAATTTTTTCATTAAAAATTGACAATAGACCAAGGCGACGTCAGCTGATTCACCGTCGACTGCCAACGAGCTTGACGTAGCTCTTTATATGTTACATCAACGCGACATGCGTTGCGAAGAATTGACTCAAGAGTTGATGCAATTGTTGGAAGAACGGGATACGTTGCAGCTGCGACTTTCCGATGCTCTACGCGTCAGTGAGCAGTTGCGAAGCCATTTGCCACCAACATCTAAAGCTATGCCAACGATTAGCTCGAACCCAAATCAGGATTCGGCCACTCAACAGTCGTCCGAAAATCCTATGCCTTCCGTTTCTGAGGAAGGTAAAGTCGAGCCGGTCAAGGAGCAACCGATCTCTCATGCACAGGAGGCTCTTACTCAGAAGTACGATTTATCGATTATTCTTTTTTCTTCTAACATTAGTTTCGTTTCATTTTAGTGTTACTTTCCCCTTTCCTTAACTAATCGAGGCTGCCTAATACTTAATCTCAAATGTATTATGCTTAAACAACACCTCTTTTACATTTCCTAAGCTCCCAAATCATTAGCTACTATTGTAAAAGCTAGAATATTTTTGTCCAAAATTTGCAGACTGTCAGAATTAAAAACTGTGCGTCACAACCGCGACAAAACACTGAAGGATGACCAAGAGTTTAGACACGCACAACAAATGTCACTGCTATCCCATCACGAGGATCTTCTAAAAACACTGCCACCTGAAGCTGCCGCTAGAATTGTTAATGCCAACCATACCTTATGTATGTATTCATCTTAGTTAACTCAGTTCCGTAATGGAATTTCAAAACGGCTTTTAGAGTCATATTTTATATCTCGCAATATCATCTTTTATATTATTACAATTTCTACCATAATTTAGACATTGTTTCAATAATAATCAATTTAATTTACAGCGCGGGACGTTCAGAGTCAATCGAGCGTTCTGATGAACTGGTTGTGGGGAAAAAGGTAACTTTTTTGTCCCCAACTAATTAGCTAACAATTATTAGCATACGTAAAAGACACTGAATTCCAGCACACCGAAGGTAGTGCACATGTGATAATCGACCAAGCACCAGTAGAAGAAATAAATAATGACAAAAATAAACGCCAGTAGCATTGATAAATTGACCTTTCGGTCGAGCTGTTCTATGAATCAACATTTCATACGGAATTGTGAAGTCCAAGGCCGGAAGATCATCTGCTGCCAAGAGCATCGCGCGAGGGTGACGATCGATTTTTCATGTTATACGCGAGTATGAGTGTGAGAGAAACGACACAACTTCGTCTGTGAACCCTTATAGTATCGGTGAAAGAAAACTTCTTGTAAGGTTTCTTATTCGAGCTTGTTTTATATAAATAAAGGTGTTTCACATCAAAAAGTAGACAAAATGAAAATAAAATTTTGACTGACATGAATTATAAATTATTTTTGTTGGTGTGCGCGAGTAGTAGGGAAGGTTCAACACAGACGAACTAAATATTAATATATTTTTAGTGTCAGTCCTATAAAATCATTGATGGTTTATTCGTACTATTATCATTATTGTATTTATTATAGTTGAATTGTATTTGTTATAATTAGGTATCAATGTACAACGTTATATGCTCTTATAATTTTAAGTATTGATCTTACGGTAATTTGTTGTCGTGTATCCGATATATGAAAATCGTGATATGTAAAAATACTTAAGTTGTGATTATGAAAGACATCAATCATGTGACGGGATCGCCACCTCGAGTCGACACGTAATATCGACATTGTTAATAATTTTCAAATTTTTTGTACGAGTTTGTTTCGTGAATATATTGAAGGAAATTCAAAACTGTAATACCTTCCTAGTATGACGTGTTCGCTCGAGGAACGCAATAAAAATGTTATGTTGTGTACATTTGCTAGTATCAACAATCATACTTTATTATGGCTATTTTTATTAATTTCTATGAAATCATAAAGCGATTGTAATAATAGTCCTACTAAATATTGATGAAATTAGTGAAGAGACTGTGTTGTATGTAATGATGAATCTGATGTTGCGATAATGTAATTATGATAAATTCGCCTTTTGTACAGATGATTAAAAAACATAAACGAAAAATAATAATGAAAGTTGATAAGAAAATAAAGAGCCTGGTCAGGTATTTATTATATATATGCAGGAGGAATTTCTATATTTTTATCTGCTTTGTATAAAAACGTTTATTTCTTCAATGTTGATTCACAACTATGATAATATTTTTACTAAAGTAAAAATTCTTGTTGTGTAGTTAATAATACTGAAAAAGCTTGACTGTTTTCGTCGCTCACGCTGACAATATCGCTTCATATATCGTCGGGAATGAGGCGTCAAAGATATTAAAACGGTCCTAATACTATGAATAATCTAAAATATAAATTATACTGAATAATAAAATAACGTATAGCTTCCAAGTCTTTTTACAAAAATCTTTCTTTAATTTTTGTCAACGTATAAAAACTAAAAAACAATCTTACAAAAAATTTGATTGTTTTATCATGCATTCAAAATTTGTAATAGAGAAGTAATTTTACAAAAATATCATGAAAGTAATGTATTCAATTCACATAAAATCATTCACGCTGTCTTTTATTCAAATCGTCCATTTCATTCACACGTTTGTATTACATTACTTAAAATTTCGTAATTTGTAATGCTTGTCGGAAACTATTATTTTTGTAACGTTGTGCTAATTTTGGCGATTATTTATCTGATTGTTTATTCAAATTTAAAGTTGCAACAAAAATTGCTTTAAATTTTTTTGATTGTGCTCTCTTGGGTTAAGGTATCGATCGTTTTTCCGTCGGATTCTGGAAGATTATCCGCAAACACAGCTGTGGTTTCACACGTCTGTTGCACTTGTTGAAAATTCCTGAAATATAATACAACGTGTTTAACCGACTCTGATCGTAAAAAAAGCATAAACGAATATTGCAGCGATGAAAAGAGGAAAAAAGACGATCGAGTCGAAATCGGAAAAGACCAGACAATCAAGCAGTAGATAGGGAAAAGAAAAATGAACTTTTGTTTGCTTTACCTGCGATGCCAAACGAGGATTTTTATAATGTTTCAATTGGCATCGGGCATATGTTGTACGAATGTTTTCGGGACGACTTGAGTAGCGCTGGTTTTGTGTGTTAAGCAGGTTTATGCGATGATGGACATAAAGAAAAAAAGGTCATGTCGTGTTACGCAACAATGATCATCAAAATGTCCAGTACGAATACTCACTTTGGACTCTGGTAGGCGGACTGCTGCTGCTTCTTTTTGAGGGCGTTGTATCGCTTGTTGCAGCTGAGGCCGATGAGGGTGAAAATGCCGAGTACCGCCAGAGCCAAGAGCACCGCGATCACGGCGATGACCGATCCCGGCAGCCTATCGATCGGAGCGTTCATGGGATTGATGTCGACCCGGTCGTTGGGCGTCGACTGGGTGAGGAACTCGCGAGGATCGTCGTCCATCCAATTGACCCAAGTGTCGTTCCAGAGAGCCGGATTGGCCGTCGGGTCGTTGGGCACGTTGCTGGGCGGCAGGGCAGTGAGGCGATGCCGGAGCAGGGCCTCCTCGAGGCTCGCCAGGATCATCGGCCGAGTCTCGGCGAGGTTGCGCTGCTCGCAGGGGTCTTCGCGCAAGTTGAAGAGGCAGGGCGCCTTGACGGGGTCGCAGGCCAGCTTCTGGTCCTTGGGCGGCTCTCCGCAGCGAACGATCGCCCGGGCTCTGATGTCGAGGAGCTCGCGGGCGCTCAGCAGGTCCTGCTGGCCGAGCTGGCGCTCGTAGCCGTCGTGGCGTCGGGCCCTCGCCTCGGAGGCCTGCTTGGAGGTGAGCGCGCCGGAGATGGCGGTGCCGGCCCTGCTGCGCAGCACCAGCTCGGGATCGTAGCTCGGGCTCGGGCCCTCCTGCTCGGCCTGCTCGGGCCTGCCGGTCTCGCCGTACCAGGCGTCGCCGTTGCCGACGCTGCCGAGGACGTACTTGAAGTCGCCGCGCCTGATGGCCGAGTAATTGAAGATGGGGTCGATGTTGACGAGCACCTCGGACCTGGGGCTGGGCTCGCTGCCGGTGACGCCGCTGATGCTCGGCCACATGTTGAAGCCGTCGATGCCCTCGAGGGGGGAGGCCGCGTCCGAGTCGAGGAGGCCGGCGGCCGAGAGCAGGGTCGGCAGCCAGTCGGCCACGTACACGAGCTCGTCGTGGACGCGTTTCGGCCGCTCGATCAGGGGCGACCAGATGGCCGCGGCGCCGCGCACCGCACCTTCCCAGGCGCTGGCCTTGATCTGCCAACAACCACGTATCGTTGAGTAAGTAACCGTATGCGGTCGTAAAGAACGCATTACGCAAGCTGCGAGCCGAGCTATCAAATTTTATTTTCCGATCGTTTATTATTCTCGTTTCCGCGATGCAGTGCACGGTTTCTGTAGCTGGATCAGCTGTCCGCGCGGCATTGGCTCGCTCGAGAATTACGATAACGAGCCGCGTAAAACTGTCATCGAGGCGGTGGTTGGCGAATCGAGAATTATGCGCTGCAGATAATTGGGCCGGTACACGGATAAGCCGCGCGGATGACGCGACGAGCAAAAAGGAATTACTCACCCCTCGAAGAGGATAGTTGCTGCCCCTGTTGTAGTGGATGCCCTGAGTGGCGGCCCCGTTGTCCGACATGAACAGGATGATGCTGTTGTGGAGCATGGAGTTGCGCCTGAGCGCCGCGACGACCTCGCCGACGCTCTCGTCGAGCTTGGACATCATGGCCGCGTAGATGCGCCGCTCGGGGTCCGAGATGTAGGCGAACTTGGCCACGTGCTCGTCCGGGGCCTGCAGGGGCTCCCGGTCGTTTCCGCTGTGCGGCGCCAGGTGCGCCAGGTACATGAACATGGGGCCGCGCTCCGCGTCGTGCCGCTCGATCAGTCGCACGGCCTCCTCGGTGAACAGGTCCGTCGAGTACTTGCCCCGGGTGTCGTGGGCCAGGCTCATGTTGCGCCGCATGTCGAAGCCCAGGTAGCCCTCGCGGGCCGAGGACGAGGCCACCTCGTGCGTGTAGTAGTCCTGCAGGCCGTTCCAGTAGCCGAAGTGCGAGTCGAAGCCCCGGTAGGTCGGCGTGTACTCGCGCCTGTGGAAGCCCTGGTGCCACTTGCCGATCGCGTGGGTCGCGTAGCCGGCTTCTTTCAGGTACTAAGCACGAAACGAGCGCCATCCATTACCGTTTCATTGTTTTACGATCGGCCTCGCGCCTCGCCAGTCGGCTCTCTCATTGAAAACTAATTGGCGCGTCAGCCGATCAAAGGATGATTCTTATCTACTCGCTATAACTTGCGAGTCCGCGGCCAAATTGCCGCTTATACATAAATATGACGAGCAATTCTTAATTGATGTTTGCGTTTCGCGCGCATTAATGCATTATGTATTATTTTTGCTACAGCTTCTCTTTGATATTTTTCAAAAATAATAACTCGCATCGGTACTTTTTTCCTTTTTCATTTTCTTCCTGTTATATTTCCAAAGTAGCGAAGGCCGATTTTATGCGTGATTTTATACCTGCGATTAACTCGGTTCCAATTCTATATATCGCTTACGATTGATCAGCGCGCTTAATTTTCTCGCTCGGCTATTTTAAATTACGCGTAATTTGCAAAATTGTACTTTACCGATAATGTGAATGATAAAAACTAATGGCTAGCTTTTCAGATCGCTGGCGCAATCGACGATTGTGTCGGACGTTTTCGATTACAAATCCAAGAAACTTAAAGTGACGTTCAAAGTTTTGGCTTGACAAAACGCGTCGAGTTGAACAAACTCTCAAATCTGTATATTGGCGCCTATCGATACAACTCGAGAGAATGAGAATGCGATACTTTTTCGAGGCGACTCGATGTATTAGGCAGCTAAGTAGAAGAAAAAATTGACCAAGATAATAAGACGTTAATGAATTTGCATTCGCGACCTTGGGCATTTTTTATTTTACTCAGTTTATAGTATATTATATTATATTATAGTTGTGAGATCTCTCGGTGTCGATTGATCAACAACTGCCTTATTACGCATTATGAGTTGAATTATGCCGTAAAAAGAGAGAGAGAGAGAGAGAGCTGCTGCGAGCCGAGACGCAATGAAAGAGAGAAAAATGCCATTGCAGGAGATGTGGCTAGTCGCTCATTCACACGCGTCCGAGTAAGTTGACGTCAGCGTTTAATTGTCCGAGGATACTACACGAAGACTATGCAACGACTGCTATAGAGACCCTACGAACCTGTGGCAAGATCTTCTCGTGGAGCGGCAGACCCCTCGGCTCGGCCTCGAGGATCACGAGGTGCTGCATACCCGTGTGTATGGGATGCTTGCCGGTGAGCAAGGCCGAGCGACTCGGCGTGCACATGGCCGAGACGTAGTGGCTGTTGAGGATGACCCCGTTGTAGGCCAGCGCGTCGATGTTGGGCGTCGGTATCTGGTCGCTGCCGTGGAAGCTCACGTCGTTCCAGCCCATGTCGTCGGCGACGATCAGCACGATGTTGGGCAGCTGCCTCGTCGACTCGCCAGCCTCCTCCCGCGCCATCGACTTTGGCTTTTTGCGCGACGACGACGGCCCGGCCTGGCTGCAGACCGAGCCGAGCAGCAGCAGTAGCAACGTCACCGGTATCGCCCGCATCCTCTCTGCTCTGCTTCCCAAGGGGACGACCTGCGATCCAAAACTTCCATTCTCAAAACTTGTGCAAATTTCATTCCATTTTTGCATTATTGCAACGGGTAGCGATCGACTTTTATCGCAGGCTATATCCGCGCGTTACATCGTCGCGGATGCGTTCGCCGACGTGATTTACGCACGTTTAGTCTTCGAATTCGAGACAAGAAGCCGTAAAAATTATTAATGATCTGTCCGCTTAGGAGTTACGGCGAGTGCCTCGACGATCCACACTCGGTACCGAACGCGATCTCGACGATTCTTTTTGACTGCTCTCGGTGCAAACGATCGTGGTTTCGGTAGAAAAACAATCTCGCGGCTCAAATGGCTGTGTTACGTAAATCGCTTACGAGCTCATTGTTGAATGGAAAGTCAAGTTATCGATTTAGACGCTCTTGAATCGTGACTCGACTCATCGCCGATCGATGAAGTAGCGACTCGCTGCAATTGTTTGTCCCCCGCTTTACAAATCCCCGAGCGTCCAGAAGTCCAGGCTAATTAATTAGCGCGCGCGCTAATCGTGTTTGCAATGTGTACGCCGCGCCTTTTCAAACGGCATGGATAAAAATTAACTCTTGGCCTCGAACACAGCCTCGCAGCCTGTGTAGCCGCAAAGGGCGACAGATAAAGAAAAACATTCGTTGCAATTGCACAAGTACGTACGAGCTTGAGAGCATTGTTGTATCGGCATTTTATCTTAGCTTTTCTCTCTCGATAGATTTTTTATCGAACGCAACAAGATTCGAGCGAAAAAAATGCCCAATGCAGCATGCAGCTCTGTACCTACCCGCGCTTGGACTTTCACAGACGTATGTGACCAATTTTACATTACATTATATATATGGTTTGGCATCGTATTAGCATATGAGTTTATACACATGTGTATCGTTTGCACGTGTGTTGCAACGCGTCGGCATTAGTGTTCGCTCATCTCATGACTATTCAATGCGAAAAATATACGAATAAAATAGAATCGAACGTGCCTCCTATACTCGAATGCCTTATCAATAAGTATGTCTGCGTATAGCGTTACGCGTGTACCATTTAATGTAACGAAGAAAAAAAAATACCCACGATTGTTTCGCGATTGCACGAGGCGCGCCTCCAACCTGCTAATTCGAGCTTTGATTATTTTAACGAGTATAAAAACAAAACGTCATTAAAGTCAAATGTTCTGACTTTTGATGGTCGTGGCGAAATTTTGACCCTCGCCCAACTTGAGTGCAATCTCGAGCCAAGCAAAGTCCCTTACACAGTTCTTCACTGCCTGTGTGTGTTCATTGAATCATTCCAATCTATAATAATGTTTCAACTGGTTTAGGCGAAAATAAAGTGTGGAAATTGTACGATGTCGAAAAATGGCAAATTCTGATTCGAAAATTTCACTTAATGCGGTGTGAAATAAAAAATTCAGTTTTCTTATCTGCAATAACTTTCGCGACAAGTGCGACGAGTAAATCACTTATACATTCGCATGAAATCATCGCGAAAAGAAAAGTACTTGTTAAAAGTTCGGAAAGTTGCATTAAAGCAGGGCTTTGGGCCAGCAGCATCGAAGCCGCTAGATTTTCTTTCTTCTCTCATGGATTCTCCCATTCTTATGGAAAAGTTGCGCCCTGAACTTTCGCATCGGCACCCGTGCGCATACTCCTACTCGAGCGTCAACTTTACATTATTATTTTCCAATGCATATTTACAAAAAGGACGCAAAATTAATTAAATACGAATCCTTCTTTTAAGTAGATTACATCACGCGAGGCTTATTCAATATATTGCGCACAATTATGCAAACGTCGAATTTCGATTATCCTGTTCCGACGCACTGCATAATACCATAAGTCGACGTGTTCTCGTTTATCGTGTCGTCCAATCAATTCATACGTTTCGATAATGACACGAGAATGGAGAAAAAAATTATTTCTTTGCGATTTTAATCGTTCCTCAAGAGGTTTGAAAATGCATTAACACGAACGCTCGATAAATGAACGTTTTAATTTTAATTTTTTTTTAAAGATTATTCGATACATGGGGTTGGAGACGCTGCAACTTGAGTTAACGTGACTAAGAGATTTTTGCAAAGGAGTCTAGGAATGATACGCTTTACGACGTCCGTTGATTCTTCCAAAGTGGATCAAGGTCAGTATCTGCACGCAACTTGTAAAGGTTTTAATTCATGTTTATTGATGTAAAAAAAATTTATTTACACAATTTAATTCACCATGAATTTGTAAAGACGAATCTTTATCTCGGATGCCTGTATATTCAAGTGTCAATGACATTACCGGACAATATTTTGAATTAGTAAAATAGTTATAATTAAAAGTTGACTTTATGTATTTGCGTATCATGTTTGAATTAAATTTATCTGGATGTTTTTACTACGGGAAAGACTCTGGACTTATTGACGTAAAGAATAAGTTGACCCAAACGAAATAACTAACCACCAAAGTGATATTGAATTAAAAATGATAACGAAAAATTTTTGTTTCAAACAATTCTAATAAAGATGTTACATTCATTGACTTAGTTTATTGATTGATTGAGAAAATTATAGTAAATATAGGTGATAATCAAGTAATTTCGTCCCGGTCCCCCTTCCTCATTTTCATTCGCACTTAAATACTATACGAGCGAGAGAAACTTTTTTCAATAAATTTTTACCAGTAAAAATGTGCAAAATGATGCAATCGGATAATTAAATGAAAAGGCCAGGATCACAGTAAATTGAACGTTATTAAGACTGGAATATGTGTGTAAAATAAGTGCCAATGACACCAATTCGCTGATAAAAGGCAGGTAAACATATTAAAATACCAATGAACTGATTCAAAACTTAAAATAGATGCATTACAGTGGTTACTCTTAATTGAATACTTTTTCTATTCGAAAATCATCGAGCAGTTCAGCTACATATTCTACTAGAATTGAGCCCTGTAATGTGATATAATGCTTCTCGAGGTTGATCGCGAAAAAGAAAAGAAACTGACCTTTGGCAAAGCTCGATGGACAAAGGTATCGTGAGCCGAAACGAAGGGCCAATCCGAGTGGAGCTATGGATTTCGGCTGGATCTAGTAGCACCGGCTGCTGCGCTGCAGTACAGAGGCAGCAGGTGTTGTTCTCGTCGCCGAGTCTCGCACCGAACTTAATCTCGGCTACTGTTGCAGCTCCGCGTATATATTATACAAAAAAGAGCCGCACACCGCCTCCTCTCTCGCTCGCAGAAGCTAGTACCCGTTTCCAACATGCCATACGTATAGTCGACCTTTACGCGTTCGTATGTAATTTTTCTCTCTCTCTCTCTTTTGCGCGCGCGAGCTCGACTCTTTGACGTCTGTATATAGATGCGAATCCTGCACTCGACTTCCGCAATGATAATGAATCAAGCCGAGGGGGGTGGGGCGCGCTCGAGAGCGCACACAAGCGCGTAAACCGTGAGGAGCGCAATACGAGCAGTAGTCGACTCGAGACACCCAGCGAAATCTCAAGCGGAGAAAAAGAAGAAAGGAAAAGTGAAAAAGGAAAAAGGATTTTTCGGAGACGCGATGACGATGATGCACGCGATCTGAGGCCGCGGGTTTTCCTCGCGCGCGCGCATCATATGGGGAATCCTGACCTTGGGCGTCGTTCGTACACAGACTTTAGCTGCTACGCTCTTATGCGAAGGAGAACGAGTTTCGAGCTCCGCGGCCCGTATCCGTGCTTTCAACGACTGCAGATCTGCAGTCTCTTGGCGTACTAGACCAGTGGCGAGAGATTGACCTGCAAGAAAGCAATTCTCTGGAAATAATTGCATTGATTATTGCCTTCTGCTCTACTCTTTGCTCTCTTTCAGTTTTGTCTGCAATTGCTATTGTAAAAAAATCTTTCGCCCCAGAATAACTTCAAGTTCGTATTTGCTTCAGCAGGATATGCGCATATCTTACGATTCTCTGAAATCTTTCTACCTTAAATATGATAACCTTCATTTTTATTTAGATCAACTATTTTTTATACAATCAGGGCTAAAACTTCGTTGTAAAAATCATCATTTTCATACTTTGAAAAACGATTAGGCAATTGATAATAGTATTTTTTAGTAAATGCAATTCAGATTTGAAAAATTTACTGAATCAAAAAACTCACTGGGAAAATATTTGCTATGCGATAAATAATGATGAAAATATTAATTATGCAAAAAATATTTTTTAATAAGTCATTGAATTTCTTTTAATGAGCAATGAAAATGTTAGCTCGAAACGTCTTCTTATATATTAGTTCCTCTTCGCTTAGAATTTGCCAATAAAATGCCTACATGGCTCTGGTGTCATGATACCCCTGAATATTTTCGAATTCAAAAGATGTTTTTTTCGAAATGTCTATAATGTTACAAATCAAGCTTTGCATTTGATTAAATTTCATCAATCAATTTATTTTGAAAGACCGTACATTTGCAGTTGCGATGTTGTTTCAATTTGACTGACAATGCAGAACTTTTTTTGCGAGAATCATCCATATATAAAAAATATCAAATCTTTTAACTAGATTGAAGCGATCATTGCGCACTAAACGAATAATCATTTATTTATTTATCGCTCTCGTATTTTACATTATTATATTATTACTATTTTATACACAAGCTGCAAATTATTGCGTTACATATTTGTATATTTATTTATGTGTTTATGAGAGCGTCCGAATGTCACGTTACTTAATACGTATTTATCAACCTCATAATTATTCATTTAATATATAATTTTCTCTCTTTCTCTATTTTTCCCCTCTACCAACTATCTTACTCATGCTCACCTTTTTTGCAATTATATTGTAAATTTCTATTCTCGCAAATCAAACAAATTACCTTGATACGATGCTATATTACATTACCAAACATATGCATAATTAACTCCTTTTTTCATCGCATTTTTAATACGTTTTCTTTTCTCAGCTGACGTAATAAGGCAAACTCTTGTCATGTGTTAGTAAAATGAGTTTACCAACGACTATTTATTTTTTCCGTCGACTTCACTTATGAGGAGGTCCAGGTTTAGTGACACAAATATCGCGGCTAATCTATTTGTAACTTTATAATCGTGCTACCTGTTCTTAACTCGTGTTCATCATAACGAGTGAGTAATTGTCACTTAAATAAAACAAGGCGCCGAGACGGAGCTTAATTTTTGACACAAATTACTTTGATTTGCATACATTTTTCAAGTAATCAGGTATTTTCATTTTTATTATGCAAAAAAAAGATTCATAAAAAAATTGGATTATTTATCAGAAGCTCACCTTTTCTTGCACTCGATCAATCGCTTAACAACTTATTGCATTTTCACATAGCTCTTCTGAATTGATTCTCGAGCTGGCCACCTTAACGCGTTTATGACGCAGCGTGAGAATTAAAACGTATAACACAATTCTGCTCTTATTTCCTGGTGCACATGTGTTTATTAAGGATATTCGAATTAAAGATCTTGTATTATTATTTTACTACGATTCAAATTGAATTGTTTGATTATTTCGTTTCAATTATTATGTCATACTTTTGTTAACATTTAATTGTGTTAATGGCTCAACAAAACTAGGATCACTAATCGTAAAGTTCAACTTAAAATTTGTTTCTCTGCTTTGAAAAAAGAAAACTAAGGCAGTACTACTTCATTGCATTGAAAATTAACCTTTTTTATCTCGAGTTACGAATGTTCGGCGTTTGAAGAAAAGGTACTATCTAGCACACATATTGAATGCATTACACTTAAATACTTGGCATACGGGCAAGTCAAATTACTTAGATAACAATGAACTGAACAGTTTTCTGATTGCAAAGTTTGTTGTTGAAACTTATTTGCACGCACGGTACGCATTTTTTCTACTATGCAACAGTGAGTTTTATAGTGTTTCTGTTTTTATTTTTTGTAAATGTATAAATATGAATGAAACGTTTGCATATTTTTAAATATTAAATTGTGATTTATGGATGAGAGCATTAAAAAGTGACAGTAAATATCGTCACTTATATTGCAACAAAGTCGAGTATGACATGGCTTGATTGGCTTTCGCACACTCGTATATGATAATTGTTTGAGGAAACTTGGATTATTATAATAGCTGTACAGCTCCAATAGTTGAGAAGCGAATTCACGGCCAATGATTATTTGTAGTGTTGATATGCGAAACCAATTATATTGTTTATACATAAACAGTGCACACGGCGAGTGAACTAATGAAATTTTTTTTTCGACGCATATCATCTTCGGATCACTCCGCAGATGAGTGAGAGTCAAAGATCCCAATTCGAGTAAACGAAGAGCTCGTAATTGGGATCTTGAGAGAACAATTAAATCGCTCTACAATCTGCCATTAGGAATAAATTGTATCATTTTACGCGCAATCAAATTGAAAAAGTGAATGCTTTATTTTTATGTCTACCTGTACGAGCATTTATACAATGTTAGATATGTCACGGGCTTGAGTATGTGGAGTGGGTGTGCAGTTTGGCGAAGTTAACAAGTCTCGGAATATCTCTCTCTTTCTCTTCACAACTTATAAATATTCAACGCGACATTTGTTTCTTACAGTTTGACTTACATTGGTTGCATTTACTAAATAATGTATACGCTAAGTCAACTGTTCAAATTGTTTATACTTTTATAGAAAACTAAAAAGTATGGATAGGGTATGCTCTGCATTAAATCTTCTTTCATCTTGTTTTTAATGTAATCATTTTGCAAAATTATAGTAATCAACGTTATATTAAATCGACAGACAACTATGTTTTTAGATCATTGGTAAAAGTTATAAATGAAAAAATGGTTATCGAACTACGATCGAGACCTTGAGGCATTTAAGAAATTTAAGAAGTTTAAGAGTTACGTCAATGATACTTCTGCTATTGAACTCTGAAAATCTAATCAATTAGTTCAAAGTCATATCATTTTTACTCGCAGTCTCCAAAGCATGACGAATATATTGAAATTTACAACTGACCAAAATCCCAATGATTGTGCAGTCAAGGATTCAAATGTGTTGTTAGTATACTGTTTTCAAATATTTTTTTTTGTAAACTAATTTATACAGGCACCGAAATGGCTGTAGATGATGAAATTTAGAAATTCTCTTTTTTGATTATTGAAATTTCTATGCGCGTGTTTGTACGAGTCGCCGAAAATTTCGAAACATCGAGTTGGGAAGTATCGAAGTCGACACGTCTTTAAGAGACGCTAGAAAAAGATCGCCTTGCCTCTGCGCAAGTGCGAGAGAGATAATTACAAGTTGACAATGGCTGAAAGCGTTAACAAAAAGGGTACAAACAAGGACAACTGGTAAAGTATAACGAGCATACTAATGTCATTGATCCACTGATGATTTACGCCAAGATATCGATTTTTTTCTAATCGTTTCTCTCGTGTATTGTCTGACTGTAAGCGTAGATGTTAAAAAGTCTGATTGTAGAAGGCTGAGTTCAATGACTCTTGAAGTAAATGTAACAATTAAAACAACAAACGTCATTATTATTTTTTTTTTATTATTAATATTTTTATATAAGGTCGATGTACTTTGGTTTGTAAAGATAGTTTTCATAAATTTAAGAATCATTTTCAAATGTTTCAAAAATTTCCATGATTAGTTTATGAATACATTTTGCAATAAAACTTATGTATAAGTTTTCAAGCAATTGATAATTACAAGCCGTTGGATGATATTCAAAAATGTGACTCGTTAGCGCGTTTTGGCCTGCGAAGGTAAGATAACTTCTTTCTCCGGAGATGTGATCATTAATTCTGTTATCTGAAAAATATAAAAATAAATATAAGCTAACAATTTAGATTATCAAATGACTATGTAATGAGTTATGATTTAATAATCACGGTGAAAGAATTGCAAAGTTGTGCTACAAGTGTTTGGATGCAGCTAAGGCCCGTTGGGAGGAAAAAGAGTTATGTCTCGACTAGAGTTATTTGCTCGAGCGATCGCGGAGCCAAATGAATGAGAGTCAACGTACGTACATAAAGTTGCCTGTTTATTATTCTCGTCGGAGAAATCCTTCATTACGATCTGTCTGCGGGTGTCTACGTATCACGAAATGAGTTTATGCGCGGCACAAGCCGCACCAAAATCATATATTGTTCCGAAACTGCTAAATTGCTTTTATTACGCGTATACGTTGAAACTGTCCCGAGCAACCGACTGAAGTATAATATACATATTAAATATTGTATACGACGGATGTCGACAGGTGCAAACGATGCGGGATCGATGGCTTCGAAATTACGATGGGTCGCTTTTTTCTTGCCCAGTTGGTTAGTTCGGGTCGTCGCGAGTTGTTGATGTACTTGCGCACGTGTGCAACGTACAAGCGCAAGCTCCCGAGTAATAGGATCGAGTGTTGCATGGCTTACATTGTAGTGTTGTATACTTACAAGAACATGATCTGGCTGTCGCAGCGAGTAAATTACCGCGTCCGCCACGTCCTGGGGATAGAGAATCGCTATGTGGGGAATAAGATTATCGGGTACACCTGCTCGTCGAATCATATCCGTTGCGATCCCAGTTGGACTGATGCTCTGTTCAATCAATAATCAAACAATTACTTTTCGATTGGCAAAGAAGCAAAAGACTTTTTTTACAATTTATTATAAAAAACATTTCTTAAGATATTTGTAACGATTTTCTGTAGTTAGCGTGTTAGATTATTTTACTATTTTCACATTAAAATATTTTGATAAATTAATATTTCAAAAAAACAAATGAAAAATCATTGTTTTCAGTCAATCGAATGGTAAAATTATTATTAGCTCTAGGCGCATAAATAATCTTCCAACGATTTGAAAATCAACATGTTTTGAAAGAGAAAATGCTAAAATAGACAATGACATTATGCAAAGATAGCTTCACTGGCATAATTTAACATAGTAAATATTAACCTTCTTTAGCAACAAAACATCCGTTTTTTTTCGCAAAGTAAGTCGAGAAATGCAAAGTGAATGCAACGTTTTTTTAGCGATTCAATCGATATAACCAGTAAGCGTGAAAGTAAGAAAATTTTAATAAGAGCTCGTTATTATATTTTCAGCAGGCGAATCGCCGATGAAGGAATGAAAAAGTCATACCGTTATTTTAATGCCGGTATTGAAGAGTTCGTTTTTCAAGCTCGCCGTCATACCGGTAACAGCGTACTTGGAAGCACAATAGAGGCCTACGGGCGCCTTAATCACTTCGGCGTTGTGTCCCGCCGCACTGTTCATGTTTATAATGTGGCCCTTAATGTTGTATTTTCTCATTGACTTGACAGCTTCTCGGGTACAGATGGCTGGAGCCAAGACGTTTATATCGAGCGTGTTTCGCAAATCTTCAGTTTTGCTCTCTGGAAATTCAAAAATCAAATTATCCTTCGCCCTTGCTTGCTAGTCATAAAAGTAGAACTCAGTGGCTCAATTATTAATACTATTTAGACGCATTGAACAACTTCTGCTATACATCCAACGGAACTTGATAAATAATGAGTTTAGGATGTGAAGTGTTTTTCATGTGAAATTATAGCACGAATGAGCAATTCCTTAATCATAAAAGGTGCTTTTTTAATTAATCAGTACAACGCTTTATCAGTATTTTTTTAGTAATTAATAAATTTTTCAGAATATTAATCAAATATTAATTATTGGTGATTTTTTCAAATATTACCATGAATGATACACGCAGGTGCCCAAGTCAGAGTAAACTTGAATACTTTTAAACGCATTTATTGAAATTCATTATAGATATTTATAAAAAACGATGTTTTTGTTTTCTTTTGAGCGACTAAGCCTCCGAGGAAAATATTTAGTATGAAGCCAACAACAAAGACGTTTAAAAATGTTTAATTCTACTCTGGTTTTGGTATTATTTTTTTTGTGAAACAAAAATCTACATTCATGAGTTGAAATATTTCAAATATATATACTCACTTATAAAAATATTAACAAACATAAAAAGTTTACCTAAAATAGCATTTGAAAACAAAACGCCGGCACAATTGATCATTGTATGGACACCTCCGCATTTTTCGTCGATCAATTGGAAAGCACTCAAAATTTCGTCTTCTTGGGTTAAATCACATTTTACGGCTAAAAACTTATCTCCTAATTTAGCAGTCAATGCGTCGAGTTTGTGTTGACGTCTACCCAAGCCCGCAACCTTCAAGCCATTTTTAACAAGTTCTTCACAAATTTTGGAGCCTACTCCACCAGTGGCACCAGTAACAACAGCCAATTTATTGACTAAATGCGCCATCTTAACTCACAGACAGCTAACACAAAACTGCGACGGACTTTGGAAACGAAGTATTGCTTTTACAAGAGCCGGCCAAATTATGTCCAATAGCGTGCCTACCTACTGCTTACAACACACGTGTGACTGAGAATTGTTGTGGTATTAGTGCGCACATATACTTTTTCAATACTCGTGTCAGCTGCTAAGTTTGTTTTGTAAACAACTTTTTACCTGCATAAGCACAAAAGCGATATGAGCAAGAAAAAATTTTAACAATTCCTGGAATATATTCAAACACTTGTTATAACGTATAAGTCTAAGTTAAGCGGAAAGTATTACTTCGTTCTCATACGATTTTTTAAAATAATTTCGAAAAAGTATTCAAACTCACATTGGTGATGATGTAATCAAAACTAATGCTTGTCGACTCAATGATCACTGTACGTAATTTCTCAAACTCATCATATATATATGGTTTCTCTTCAAACCATTTTTCAAGAGTAGAAATTTTTTTTGACCCTCGCGCTGAGTTTTTTAAAAGTATCCTATGCGATAACAATTATTAATCTGTGGTTGTGTGGTTATGACATATTGAACGGAAATTCAATTCGGTAGCCCATATAATGACTTAAGTAGTTATAAACCACACCGACAATTTTTACCCAAAAAATAAAGATGAAAATTTTTATGCAATGATAACAATAATAATAATAATAATAATTGAGACTTGTCTATTGTCAGCAGTATTTTGCGGTGCGATTATTTGCGTCCGTATTATGTTGCGTGAACTCAAAGAAGTTTTATCAAATATTAAATATACTGTTTTATAAATCTAAAAATGTTGAATACCATAAAATATTTAGTTTTTTCTTTACACATAACTTGACAAGTTAATTTCTCTTCGGTATCAATCATTTGAGCAACACTCATTGTTATTTAGCGGAAGTATATATATACAGATTCAGGTTTGAAAATCTACTTTTTTATAGTTGATTGTGTATCTATAAAATGTCAGTTATCAAACATCACTGTTTAACGTTTCACAGCGTGAAAATAATTATCTCCTTACTCCAAATTTTTATCACTAATTTTAGATTTGAAACATGCAAAATTTTATCATTTATTTTGCCAATTCTGGGGAAAATTGATATACCATCATTTTCTTTACCAAGCGCATATTTTCTTCTTGAATTTTGGCGGTATCAATATCTGAGATGAATTTGTAGGAAGCTCTGCAATTCATTAAAAACGGAAATTAACAATAAATACATTTTACGATGAGGTATTGGACCTCGTTAAATGAAATCTCAAATAAATGAATATTCGTGTAAGTATTTCCTCTTATTAAAATTATGCAAAGCCTCGTTTAGGTAATATCTTCGTTTAATAGCATATTATGTATGTACATGTACATGTACATGTATTGTGAAAAATATTTTTATTTCTAATGTTTTTGAAACTAGAAAATTATATATCCTATTATTGATGTTTTATTGTTATAAGATTCAAGAGAAAAAAACACGACCTAGTTGCTTAAATGAAAGTTATAAAACTTGGAATTTGTGAGCTTGCTGATTTTTCATAAAAAAATTTTTCTCCTGAAAAATTATTCGCTGAAAAAGATATTAATGAGAAATTTATATACGTACAGCAGTTATTTTGTGTAACAGACACATGCCTTTTTTCAACTACGCAAAGTCGTTTGTCATCTTCAATTTTACGTAAAAAAAATCTTAAAAATCATTGTTAGTCATGAAAACAACAACAAAAAGACTTGCGCATATTGAACCTTTGTACATGAATATTTTTTCAATAGTAAAATTACTTCAAAAATCTCTCTATAAGTATTTTGATAAGTTTTTAATGGAAGTATTAAATGAAACTCTTTTCATAAAATTTGAAAGCACAATAATGAATTCGTATAGCTTACTAATAATTATCAGAATATCATTTGAGTTGCGCTGACTAAGAGGCTCACAGAAGTTCCTTTTCCTTTGTCACTACTTGTACTTGTTTTGATCCTGTCTTTACTATCGATTTATGGCAATAAGAAAACTAATTTTTAACTCTAGTTAAGTATCTTCAATCTTTATAGTTGAAAAGAATACCGCAAATAATATGATTAATATTGATAAATGTTAACGTTTTACTGAGATTGTTCTTTTATTTCTGAGCCAGGTGAAATAACGAAAAAATATATATATATATATGTTGAATGCAGTTGCGAAAACTAAATAAAATTTCCTCTTCGTGCTCTGCCCGAAATTTAATGTCAACTTTTTATGAAACCAAAGGCATTCTACTACTACTTTATCATTTAGGAATTATGTACATTTAAGTCATAAATCGTTTGAACAAAAATCGTGTTAACATACATAAGACATTAACTGAAGCAGTGAAATTCAATTGATGAAAAAAGTCATGTATTGTATGGTCGACCGGCAACACTGAGCTTTAGTACAATATAAGATGTTGGTTCAAAATTGTTTATTAGAAAATGAAATTACGAGAAGGACCAGTTAAAAGCTTGGAAAAGTGAACTATAGAAGTTATAATTTTACCCACTCGTTACTTATCATGTGAAATATCAGCTCCTTTTAAAAGAACCGTAGATTGATTTTATGCGCCAGCAAATCGTAATGTCACAAGAAAAGAAGCCATTCAATGAATTTTTTTTTATTCTTTTCCAAATCAACAAATAATTTCGTACTTGATTATCATACAAGAATTATAGTTTATAGTTATTAATGCTTCGCAAAATGACTTGTGATATGACAGACGAAACGATTTTATTTCAATTCCAGGCAAAAATTCGTTATCGCTTGATGTAAGCAAAAAGAAAAACTCATAAAAAACTAGAGTTGGTATTTCTGGTGTCTACGAGCATATTTTAATTTAATAATCAGTTGTTATTCTTGCTATGGTAACTAATGAAGAGAAGACAAAATCGTGATAAATGTTTTATTTGCGCAAACAAAGTCTATAGTTTTCCATTAAAAAAGGCAGCATGTGACGAAACATAGAGTGGTCAGAACTTATGATAAGAGAGTTTTTTTGGAACTCGACAAGAAAGTCAAATATAATCTGCTCGACGCTTAATTAATGTCGCGTAAAGTAGCGCTAGATATTGCCGCGTAAGTGTGCAAACGGATAGGTATCGAGGAGATCGGAAGCGCAAAAGTTTACAGTTTTGTTGACTCGAGGTATTTCAATATATAAGCTAAGTGCTTGGAACGCTCCGGCATCGATTTCTCGATTCTTCAGGCTAATAAACGTGTGCAAGCACGCTTATAAAATTTGAGCTTCGCCCAATAGATACAAACCAAATAAATGCATATTATTTGTTTGAATAATAAAAAGTCGAGTGCGCCAACGAGACTTTTTCTTACTTGGATGTCGGCAAAATCGGCTAGCCCAAGGATCGCAACAATATATCGCGACATCTGAATGAAACAATGCTGGATTTAATCCGAATGGAAGCTGTAATCTATCGTATACGGCATCGTACACTCTATGATGTATAGATCCAATGTTCATAAAAATGTGTCACGCGTGCACTCGTGAGCGCGTGACTAGTGCTAAATACCAAAAGGTTAAGCTTGGCTGCGAGAGAGAGAGAGAGAGAAGGAATAACAAAACAAAAGCGATCGACAAGTACGTACGAAAATATCGATTGCGGGGCGGCAGTGCGATGTCGGTCTGGCTCTGACGGTATAGAGCGTAGCACAAAAGTAAAAAAAAAACGTATATATAAATTCAGCGCGTCCAGTTGTTGTCCCGCACATTTTTTCACCGTTCATCAGCTAAATGGAAAGTGATTTAAAATGCTCGTACCTCGTTCGTGGGAGATCAAATTGTGTGTATCGAGAGTATAGTTCGATGCTATGAGAAATTCACCTGGCTGCCAATCAATTTTATGCATAGCAGCTATGCTGCACTTTTCCCCACTGTTATATAAATAAAATTATCATTTGTGAATGTGAGACATTGGAATAACGGAAAAACTAATTTTCTTTTCGCTGCTCCAAATACAAATGACAATGAAAGACGTTGCATAAAACATTACGACAGTAACAATACACACTTTGATTTTATTGATTTGCAGATTATAGCGCTTTCGAAGGAGATGCAGTAACATTTGCATGACGCTGAGAAACAATTCAATTTCTCCGCAATGAACATAATCTTATTTTTTCAGAAGAGCTCTTTTTAAATTAAACTTTTTTTCAGTACAGTTGACCAATAGCTTATTCCAAAATCTTTGATATTTTTTTTATAAATGGTTGGCAATAACAATGAAATAATATCCATAGATATACATAGTTCTTTGATGAAGTTCATTAAATATTTTCATCACCGCCTGATAGCAATAAATGAATCATTTAAAATAATAAGTAAAAAATGCTCTTTATCAATATCCTAGCGAAAATGTGAATTTTTTTTCTAAACGGATACTTGAGACAAATTTAATTAAAAACCCGTCTTATCTCCATAAAATTGCATTCTTCGTTTTGATGTATTTATGTATTGGTACAGTGTATGATATGGTACATTGTCAATATAGATGTTCATTTTAAGTGTAAGCTCAATCAACATGGCATTTATCGTATTCACTCGACTCTTAAATATGCAGGCTTGAGTCTACTCTCACGCTATATTATGTAAAATTTGCTATTACATCAGTCAAAGCTGTATGTCGAGAGTTGATCGTTTTTTCCCCTAAGCTTGCATAAATTAATTTCATTATTATACAGAGATATATCATAAGTATGCTTAAATTTTGAACAAACATAAGTTTCCCATAGTTTTTAATAAATGTGACCTTGATATGAGAAATAATGATTAGTATAGAAGCAAAAGAATCGATCAATAGTTGCGTCAAATCCATCGACTTGGGACGCTTAGAAAATTTGCTGATGCAAAGAAAAATGCGGCGTCGGCGACAGTGGCGGCAGCGGCAGAGTAGCTCTTAAATATCGTATACATAGATACAGTTACACGTACAGGTCTTAACCCGGCTATAGGTATATTATGTTCTCAAAGCTCTGCTGCACTTGCTCTACAAGGATGTTCAATTAAGCAGCGACATCGGCCGAGACCCTATTTTTTATCATAAAAATCTTCTTCATCTCGTCAACCACTTTGGTAACTTTTGTTTTATACGGCTCCCAGCTCTATAGATATATTTATATGTATACAAGAAGTTTTACTAGCTTTTACAGATGAATCTGGCACGCGTGTATGGGCATTTAAAAAGTCTTTTGTTGACTTTTTTGTCCGTAGCGTACTTCAAAGGGTTTCCAGAGATTATTGCTTTGGCTGTTTTTATCAAGCTCGATTAGCTTTTTGACGCGACCTAACCGCACGAGGTTTATCCGAAAAATTAATTATTTATTATCCGTGAAAGATTTTGAGCTCAACTCGTAAAGTTTTTCAAGACTTCCTGAAAAGCCAACTGTCACATTTTGGCCTTGATCTGTGAGCAAGATTTTGAATTTACTCCAAAAATAAATTGTTTTCAAAAGCAGTTCTTATTAAAAGAAAATTGTAAATAATCGGAACAAAGTCATCAAATGGACGCAAATAATTCACTTTCATAGATTGTATTGTGATCCGTTTCAAGCCTCTGATGTAAGTGTAATAAAATTTTGGTCGTGAAAAGCAGAAGGTGCAGCGCTGCTTCTGCATACGCAGATTTGACGAGACGATCGTAAAACAAATTAATCCTTCGTGGCTGGGCTTTGAAACTGAACTGCATTTAACAAAGATTACCTGCAGATCGTCTCGAGCGTTCGCGAATCCCAGTCGTTTTATCGCTATCTTCGATAAGTATGGAGAGTCAAGTGAGAAGGTAGCTGCTTCCTAACTATGAGGCACGGAAACACCAATTGTCAGTGAAGTCATTCCCTGGCTCAAGAGACAATCCATGGCGTGATTCTTGAGCCACGCGTGGATACTCATTACGAAACGATGTTGTCATCGGCAAGAAAATCGGAAATTTTGGTTCGCGCGCAGCTACGTTGGCCCGAAGTCGCCGCGAAGGTGGGGAAGTATGTATACAACGCTAGAGTCAGCATGCAGCAGAGTGTAAGGAAGGCAGCAGTGATGGGGAGGCTTGCGCACACGGCTGTGAAGCCCCTCGAGCGGTCCAAGCTATGCAAGTATAAATTGCTGTGCAGCCGTCGCGTCGCGTGCAGCGAGCAGTGCGCGCCTCGATCTCACCCAAGCTCGACGTTTTCGCAATTCGCGCCGCAATCTACTGGAGAACATGTTTTTCCGTTTCTTTCGGTAAATTCCATTCAAGTTCAAGTGCGATCGCATCCTTACACATTCGTCATGTCGCAGTCTTGTTCTGTGATGAGAGGTAATGAAAAACCCCCATAGATTATATCTCCACTTTCATTCCCTTCGCATCATTCGCGCGCATTGTCTTGCACGCAATGCGCGTATTTTGACAATAAGACAAAAGCATCCCTTATCTTTTTTTGCGCTTTATCACGCCTCTGGTTTTCTTGACGCTAACTCTGAGACGCTGAATTATTTTCTCTATCGGTACATCACAATGTGTTATGCATTTCATTCAATGTTAAATATTTTTGATACACTTTAATTCTTAAAAGATTATGAATGTCGATCCAATTACAATAATAACATAGTTTTTTGTTTAATATTTGATAAAATAATAATTGGCTTGATAAAAGGATATAATACAATTCTTTTAAACCTGTATCAAAAAATGAGTTCTCTCTTTTTTATCGTGAACGCGAATCAATTATCTTAAAATAACAAACAAACAAGTGATTTCAAGATCATGGATTAGTAGAATTTCTCCCCAAGAAATCCATTCTTTAACAACAGGGATGATTTTCTTAAATTTTCTAGGGCCAAAGATACAATAAACGTGAACAATTTTTAATATTAACGTGACGTGCGTAATGCTTTGTACGTGTCAACGTTTAAATCAGCACAAAAGTGTCGGATTTATCTTGTCGCGATCTTCGTACAGTAGCTGTTGTCCTACGTCAGACCATAAATTAACTATCAAGTTAAGGTTCAATGCAACTGTATGCTTGAAAATCTTATAGTTAAGATCGGATTTAAAAGGTAAATTTGACGATCGTACAAAAAGACGCATTTTGTATATAGAAAAGATGCGAAGAATAATTTACTAGCACAAAGTTATAAAAAATTAAATCAAGTACACGAATAGATCAAGCAAAACATAATATCGATTTTATCTCAATAAGGATTTTGGAGAAAATAAATTTATCGAAATATGTTGAGAATCCTTACAACGAGTATCATTATTATGTTATAATCCGAGGACAACCCTCTTTCATCTTGATTTTTTTCTTCGTCTCACTGGCTGCCTTTCATATTCCTTGTTATATTAAGGGCAAATGATAGAGTAATCGTCGTGCTGGAAATTAATTCTCTCGATGTTTATTACGTGGATAGTTTAAATCAATAAAACTTTAATAAATTTCGACGAGTATATCATGTGCTATTAATGTAGTCTCGAGTGTAATTTACCAGTTAACGAAAGCACAATATGCGAAAAATATTTCTTAGGGTCGTAATAGTAGAGGCGCGCATACGATGTGCATGCGAATGTGTGGGCGCATATGTTCATTCGAGAAGGTGGACTGCAACTGCTGCTTATAACGAATCGATCATTTATTCGAATTCACAATTTACACCGGAGCAGAAATTTTTCCAATCAGCTGCCTAGTTTGTAAAGTAAAAAGTCTCGCCCGGAGCAATGGGCACGTAACAAGTTCTGCCCATACTACTTTTTGTTCCCCTCGCGAGCTACGTCGTAGTTAGTAGCGCAGCATCGATTGGAGCAACTTTTTTTTTCGCGCGTAAACAATCAATTGCTGGCGCGTAATTCGCGTCCTCTGCGCTCTGCACATCTGATCGCTGATGACTCGACTAGTAATGCCAACGAGGATATGAATGTCGGCCCGCGCGATTCCCTCGCGAGCATAAGCGATGGATTCTGACGGGCCATTCGCTACTGGCCGACTAAACGATTCGAAAATCCGATTATTATACCGCACGCGCGCATATCGTCGCTCCGAGATTCAATGCACCCAAAACCGCGCCTGTGTATCGATCTATACCCGAGAAACTAAAATCTATACGCGCATCTACGATTCCATCGAGTCTGCTGAAGCTCGTTTTCGCGATCCTGTGCCTACATCACCTGTGCGTTGCTCATATAGTTGTGCACACGTGAAACTTTCCTATATATAACGCATACATCGCTCTACTCTCGTGCAATTTGCTTCTGTTATAAGCGTAAAAGTATCACGATATTTCCAGTATATATATAGTATTTACAATTCATTGGAAGCTTTACTTATGGAAATTAAGCTTGCGAACGTACCATGCTGCATACACAAATTAAGCATGAGCACGTGCACGTGTCACATTAATTTTTAAAGTTATTTATTTGGATTGCGTGATCTGGACGCGTTTGACCTCTGCAAATAACATTTAATTTTAACAATAAAAAATATTTAAAAACCTACGTGTCTCAAACTAGCTGCGTCGTATGAACTTTTTTTTATCTCTCTTTCTCTCTTTCTCTTTCATCTCCAGACTCACAAGTACAACTTAATTATGTAAGAACGATCTTTTTTTCATGGTTGATAAACGCGTATACCTACTTGAGCCCTTCTGCGTTACTTTTTTTGCTCCCGCGCGCATCTTTATAAAATTAGTATGTACTCGGTCATAGAGATATATATCTAAATAGTTCTCTTTTAAAAAAGAAAAAAAACCTACGACGAAGTTCTGAAAAGTAAAATAAACAGGAGACTCTTTCTAAAGAGTGGTAAAGTCATGAAATTAAGGAAATTTGTAATTTTTAATACTGATTATTAAAAGGAACAAAAATGACAAATGAATTCTACAAAAAGTAGACCGGGAAATATTTCAATTTTGTGGTAATAAGAATCATTCGGGTGATTTTTATTTTCACAGCGAATAAATACGTCATATCTCTTGAAATTGAATATTTCACGAAATTTTTATTAGATCACACTTCTTATTACTGGGTCATGCGCAGCCGACTCTTCTCCGTTTCCGCTACTTACTTACACATAGCTGCATAGCCGATATCCATTATTTGTTTCCTGTACTTGTGTGAGGCTTTGCGAGGCTTCGCACTTCATTCGCCGCGTTCAATTAACAGAAATTCAATACTAACGTAACTATAAATTACTTGATTATAGTGTTGAATTGTAATTTTTACAAGTTAACAAATTGAAAAAGGAGTCAATTTTATAAAATCATAGTGCTTGATGAATTACTTATTCATCGATGTAAATGATTTGTTTCGCCTATGATGAAAAATTTGTTGTCGGTTTCGAATTCACAAAATTCATTGAAAGAAATTAATCTCGAAGGTGATGAAAATGTAAACCTGTACACTGGTCGCTACCAATAGAAAACGAACGCGGCCGTGGTATTAAATGTTTGAAAGAGCCTTCATTAAAGTCTCAGATGCTGATTTGACAGCTGTTCATCGAAAACGGTCAAAATGTCGTTTTTTAAGTTAGCTCAATACACATGGCTGTATATACTGCGTGGAACGCATGTAGTAGGCATGCATTTAGCGCTGAAAGATCCAAAGCTCCAATTGATGCGTGCACATGCACATAGAGGGGTCGCAGGATGATTTGTAATTAGTCAGCTTTGTTTATCGAGAATCAAATTAAGCAGCACATTGGAAACGTACACGACTTGTTGTTTTGCTTTTGCCGTCCGGAGTCGCAGTTGGATTGCACGCGGCGAATTTAATAAGTACTGACGCGAATGGTCTTTTTTCCGAAACAAAAAAAATACCAACATCTCTTTCGTCGACGACGACAATTACCTTTTGAAATCGTAACTTTTTATGAATACAAAATATTTTTCAGTCGAACCAAACTCGCATCGTTAACTTATGTAACAATAAGTTTGCGGTTTTGGAAGAAAAGCTCGGCTCTGTACGGTATATAGAAGTAAATGTCACATCTGGCCGTACAGTATACTTTTGATAAGATATTCGCTTGCGAGTAAGTTGGAAATGCGGCACGTGTCTCGCGATACATGAATTTGTTGAAAGTGGTTGAAAAAGAAAACTCCGAGCTCTCGGCGCGGACAATAAAAAACGAGGATGTTGCCATTATATTGAGTGCCAGCTCTCAACGCTCCCTGCGTAATACCGATGAAATGGACCGATGATCATGTCGACTTGGCGTTACGATGCCGTCAATGTCAGGCCGAAAAATGTTTGTCGTACGAACTGGCCGCGTTCGCTGCTTCATTTGATGGATCGAGTAACGAGAGATTTTTTGAATTTGCTGAAACGAGTGATTGCTAGAAAACGTATACTTGCCTGACTATCAATGCATTTTTTTTTCATTTGTTTTCACCTAAATACGGGACTACTGCTTATCTATAATTATTTCTGAATTAATACGAGTAAGTATTTATTTTATTTTATTTATGACATAACAGGCGGCTTCTTTGTAAAAAAAAACAGCACCCATCGGCAACAGCAACGAGACTCGTATCGTTTCAACAAGAAAGGGTAGAAGTGCATTTTTTTCATTTCGCTTTTGAGAGGCACTACTCATAAGAAGTATATGTAAATTCCTTTGCTCCCTTGACAATTGCCGTACGCATACTGTATAGATGTATTTGTCCGGGAACATTTTCAGTTTGATATTCATTACGTTTTCCTCCGTTGACTGGCTGCGTTATGTCCAACGATGTTCAGATTCGTTCAATCGTTTTTTTCTTGCTCTCGATCGATATATGCATACAATCTTACACACTGAGCAGGGAAAAAAGTCGTTTTGACTTGGGGCGGGTGTCGATGCGGGAATATTTTATAACTCTTTTATATATGCTAATAAAATCAGCAGTACTCGCATGTAGGTAAAGAAATAGATTTAGAGAGGATATTTATTTACATACATCGAATTTTTCTGCGGAAAACAATTTGTTTAGCCGTTCAACAAGAGAGCCGTCAAGCTCAAAACGACGTCCTCGATTTTTCATAACTCTGCACGAGTTATATTAAGGATAAAACAATACGTGCATACAGTCCCGAGCATTTATTTCTCTGTAGATGATACACATAATCCTTATAAGATACTAAATCGGATCGCGCGCTTGATCGAAGTAATCTACCAAGTGGAAAAAGCTCGTTCGCATCTTCGTTAAGGATATAGGTATATAGAGACACGAGCGTATACACGAGAGAGGGAAAAAGACGAGGCTCGGAGAAGAGAAGAAATATAGTGTGCCTCTTGACATGATTTTTCGCCCACGAGGACAAAATCTGTCGCTAACACTCGCGGAGGC